GGTCATACCTGAATGGTCTAGTGGTTTTCCCTACTTTCTTCAATTTAAGTCTGAATTTTGCAGTAAAGAGTTCATGATCTGAGCAGTCAGTTCCTGGTCTTGTTTTGACTGCCTGTATAGAGCTCCTTCATCTTCAGCTGCAAATAGAATCAGTTTGATTTTGCTATTGATTATCTGGTGATGTCCATGTGTAGAGGTTCTTCTTGTGTTGTTGGAAGAAGGTGTTTGCTATGACCAGTGCATTCTCTTGGGAAAACTCTGTTAGCCTTTGCCCTGCTTCATTTTGTACTCCAAGACCAAACTTGCCTGTTACTCCAGGTATCTCTTGACTTCCTACTTTTGCATTCCAGTCCCCTATGATGAAAAGGACATCTTTTTTGGGTGTTAGTTCTAGCAGGTCTTGTAGGTCCTCACAGAACCATTCAATTTCAGCTTCTTCAGGATTAGTGGTTGGGGCATAGACTGGGATTACTGTGATATTGAATGGTTTGCCTTGGAAACGAATAAAGATCATTCTGTCATTTTTGAGATGGCATCCAAGTAGTGCATTTCTGACTCTTTTGTTGACTATGAGGGCTACTCCTTTCTTCTAAGGGATTCTTGCCCACAGTAGTAGGTATAATGGTCATCTGAACTAAATTTGCCCATTCCAGTCCATTTTAGTTCACTGATTCCTAGAAAGTCAGTGTTCACTCTTGCCATCTCCTGTTTGACTTCTTCTAATTTACCTTGATTCATGGATCTAACATTCCAGGTTCCTATGCAATATTGCTCTTTACAGCATCAGACTTTACTTCCATCACTAGTCACACCCACAACTGGGTGTTGTTTTTGTTTTGGCTCCATCTCTTCATTCTTTCTGGAGTTATTTCTCCACTGATCTCCAGTAGCATATTGGGCACCTACCAACCTGGGGAGTTCATCTTTCAGTGTCCCATCTTTTCGCCTTTTCACACTGTTCATGGGGTGCTCAAGGCAAGAATACTGAAGAAGTTTGCCATTCCCTTCTCCAGTGGACCACGTTTTGTCAGAACTCTCCTCCATGACCCGTCCATCTTAGGTGGCCCTACACATCATGGCTCATAGTTTCATTGAGTTAGACAAGGCTGTGGTCCATGTGATCAGTTTGATTAGTTTTCAGAGATGCTTAAATGGATGGAGAACACACCTGGAGACCAGATGGGCTGCCTCGGCTCCTGCTTTCTGTTTGTGTAAAACAGTGTCCCAGGACCTAGAAAAGAGCTCTGACCTTTAAAATGTTGAACCCCAGGGGTCAGGATTTGTTCATTCTCAGGAAAGTCTGGCACCTCTCCTGAAAATAAAGGATGGGTGAAGAGTTTGCCAGTCCCCATACGGGGACTGACTTCTCAGAGTTCAGTTCGGTTCAGTCACTCAGCCGTGTCCGACTCTTTGCAACCCCATGGACTGCAGCACACCAGGCCTCCCTGTCCATCACCAACCCCTGGAGTTTACCCAAACTCATGTCCATTGAGTCGGTGATGCCATCCAACCAGCTCATCCTCTGTCATCCCCTTCTCCTCCTGCCCTCAATCTTTCCCAGCATCAGGGTCTTTTCAAATGAGTCAACTCTTCACATGAGGTGGCCAAAGTATTGGAGTTTTAGCTTCAACATCAGTCCTTCCAGTGAACACTCAGGACTGATCTCCTTTAGGATGGACTGGTTGGATCTCCTTGCAGTCCAAGGGACTCTCAAGAGTCTACTCCAATACCACAGTCCAAAAGCATCAATTCTTCAGTGCTCAGCTTTCTTTATAGTCCAACTCTCACATACATGACTACTGGAAAAACCATAGCCTTGACTAGATGGATCTTTGAGGGAAATGTATCTGTCGTCTCCCCGGTTGGGTACTCTCTGGTCTAAAGGCTATTATTCCTGCCAGCCATAGTCTTCGGGAGCATAGAAGGGAGGACTGAAGACAGGACCTCTCTTTATAAGGAGGTGGACCTCAGCCCAGGTTTTAGGGTGCCTGTTAAGAATCAGGTCACACCCTCAGCCTAATAAGGATGCCAGGCCCTGCCCTGAGCCTTGCCCTTTGGGCTATTGGGCCCTGCTAACTGTGGATCAGGTCCCGCCCCCAGCCCCACCTCCACTGCTGGAAATGACCAATGAACAGCAGACCCCGCCCCTAGGTCCATCCAATGAGTGGCGGGTTCTGTCCCTTGCGGGTCCGCCCCCAGGAGTTAGCACTCAGTTCAGTAGGGATTTCCTCCATCCTATAGCTTATCCCTGTCGGCCCAGTCTCAGAACCACTGAAAACCCACTTGGCTGCCTCCTGGAGTGCCCTCCGCACTCATCAGTGGCACTGGAAGCGCCCACGGTGCCCTACTTAGACGTAAGAGTATGGAGCTGAGCCCTCCAGCGTGCTAGTCTCTCGCCCCTTCCCTAGCCCCGTCCTTCTTCTCCGAGCCTGGGTTCTGCCTATCGCTGGTCTCCTCAGATCATGCTGGCACCTCCGATATAAGACCCAGTTTTCCCCGGGGCACTCACGACAGCTGCCCACACCTTGGCATTGTGCCCATCTCCTGTCTCTCTTGCCCCTCTGCCACAAACACCTGAGTATGACCCACATTCCACAGCCAGAGGAGTGGCCCCATGTGTATCTGATTAGATTTTCCTTCTCTCCCGAGCTCCCCCACACACACATACCTCCGACACCCCCTCCACCTCCTACCTCTTGACCCCATGGTGGGAACACCCACATTCCGTGTGGTGGGAGCCTTCTGGTCTGACAGGCTGCACTGTGACCAGAGGACAGGGTGAAACGTTCCTCCACTGACTCGGTGTCCTTCTCATGGCTCCCCTCGTCTGTGTCTCTGGATAGAGAATTATGTTTCCTTTGACCTCTCTATTCACAGGGCTAATTGTTTCCATACAGCCCTCTGGCTTCTAAGAATAGGAAAGGAGGGTGTAAAACTCAAGACTAAATTTATTCCTGACAGAGCTCAGCAAAGGAGCTTGCTCTAAGTCAATGGTCAGCTTTGTTAGTCGTCTGAGAACAGGAGCACAGTTGGGGGACTGGCTGTCACTCCCTGTTAGAGATGATGGCCATCACTGAGGCATTTTATTTCTCTGCATACACGCTACCAGCAGAGGTGGCTGAATTTGGAGGTGACGCTCAAGCCAAGCATCATCACAGCCCAGCTCCACCAGACAGCGAAAGCACCAGAGAGTCGGATGGAGGAGTCCCTCCTTTGCTCCAAGGAACTAGTGACAGAATTCCTTCTTCTTTTCTCCCCTGTCTTGCTCTGCCATGGAAATGTTCATCTAGGCTAACAGGAGCCAATTCTTGGTTCCTTCTTCTGACTGGGTATCAACTCCTTCAGGGGGGCAAGAGTAAACAGAGTCCTTAACAAGAGTTCATGAGACTTTGAGAGCCAAGCCTGCAAAGTCAGTGTGGCCACCTCAGAGCTGGGTGCCCCAGCCTGCCCAAAGACCAACACAAGCAGGGTCAGTTAGATTTGGTGAGCCTTTCTGGAAACATTCCCCACACCAGGCTGTGGGGAAGATTTTATATGTCAGTATGTAGATGCTGGGCATGGGGCACGCCAGGGAGAACCTAGTGGGAGAGCACGTAGTCCTTGCCTCCTGGTGTACATGATAAGTTATGGACACAGAGGACTATCCCAGGTGTCAGGAGAGAGGCACAAACAGAGTTGAGAAATTTCAGAGGAAGCAGCCAGGAAGGGTCTCCTGAGGATGGGCGCTGGAATTGAGCCTCATAGGGATGATTACAAGAAGCAGAGGTGAGGTGGAGGAGGAAAAAGTCTCGGTGAAGGTTTGGGCCTGACTGAAATGGCAGGTGGTGAGTGAGAGGTAGGCAGGAAGAGAAGGTTGGGGCTGGATTGCACCTGGTCTTGATTAGTCCTGGCTCTGCCAGTGTTTGTTTGTGACCTGAGACTAGTCAAGTCTCCTCTCTAGGTCTCAGTTTCCCCATCTGTCAAATGGGAGAATTGGCCTAGAGTCAGTGGTTTTCAACTTTTTCAGACCCATCATATACTTTTCATAACAAATAATTTGTAATGACTCAAAATTAGTATGACCTTCTCACAATTTCAAGTATATATGCACCCATATATATGTATATAATCTATGATATATATAAAGGGAAAAATAAAAGGAAAGTATTTATAATAAAATATTGTATATGTCAATATGTAGATGCTCACTCACAACCACCCCAGAAAACATAATGAATGAGTCAGGTGCTCACACCATAGGTAAAACACCATTCTGCCTCAAATGCAGTCAAAATAGGTCGGCTATCTTGGTCAGTGGTGTTCTTCTTAGAGATGTACTTTCAAAAAAAAGCGAACAATTCTTAGTGAAGTTCCAGACAAAACAAATTCGGTCTTCCCCCAGTTTACAGGGTAGCTGCATTTCAATATATTCAGAATATATTAAAACTGTACAAAAATTATTTCATATTTATGTGTAAAATGGAGTCAAACTGTAGTTCTGGGTCATTGTAAAGATTTTTTCATCCACATGAATGTCTGGGGGAGCATCTGAAGCTTATTGGTGGGGGACATGGGACCACCTGCACATTTCATTCAGGGTGTTTAGCATCCCTGGATCCTACCTATGGAGACAACTCAAACACCCCCACAAGTTTCCAGATTACTCCATAGGGTGATTATCCAGCACCTGAAGAATCTTTAAACTCCCTCCCAGCTCTGAAATCATCCAATTCTGGACCTCATTCAGGTTTACTCAGCAAATTTTTGCAGAGTACCCACTGTGAGCCTTGCCCCTGGGAAATCATCAGTGAACAAGCTGCCATAGCTCTTGTCCCCTACAACCGAGTTTCAGTCCAAAAGGCTCTTACCTGTCACCTTCCCGTTTTACAAAGGAAGAAGCTGTGATGTATTCAGCATCACACAGCCTCCTGGGGGCAGACCAGAACCTGGCCTCAGGGAGGCACCATAGAATGGGTCCACAGCCTTCTCTCCACTCATCTCTTCCTCCCGCATCCCCGCAGTGCCAGCCGCCCTGACCCTGGACCCAGGCACCGCCCACCAGCGCCTGATTCTGTCCGATGACTGCACCATCGTGGCCTATGGCAACCTGCACCCACAGCCGCTGCAGGACTCGCCCAAGCGCTTCGACGTGGAGGTGTCGGTGCTGGGTTCGGAGGCCTTCAGTAGCGGCGTCCACTACTGGGAGGTGGTGGTGGCAGAGAAGACCCAGTGGGTGATCGGGCTGGCGCACGAGGCCGCGAGCCGCAAGGGCAGCATCCAGATCCAGCCCAGCCGCGGCTTCTACTGCATCGTCATGCACGACGGCAACCAGTACAGCGCCTGCACGGAGCCCTGGACGCGGCTCAACGTCCGCGACAAGCTCGACAAGGTGGGCGTCTTCCTGGACTATGACCAAGGCCTGCTCATCTTCTACAACGCCGACGACATGTCTTGGCTCTACACCTTCCGCGAGAAGTTCCCGGGCAAGCTCTGCTCCTACTTCAGCCCCGGGCAGAGCCACGCCAATGGCAAGAACGTGCAGCCGCTGCGGATCAACACCGTCCGCATCTAGTGCGGTGGAGGGCGACCGTGGGTGCCTGGGCTTGGTCACCAGCAAGAGCCCTGCCCCCAAAGACAGGAAGCCTGGACTCCAACTCAGTGGGGCCACCCCTGAGATCTCAGGCCTGTTGTTTACCCTTCAGCCTCATTTCCCCATCTGTGAAATGGAGGTTGTGCTCCGTGACTCCGAAAATCTCTTCCAGCACTGATGTTCTGTAGCTCTGACCTTGATGGGGATGCAGTTGTGGTCCAAGAACCAGACGAAGTTTCTCCTCATGGCAGCCCCCGCCTAATCCCTCATCCTCCTCTGGCGGGCAGGGGACTGCATCCCTGTGTCTCTTTCCCGCCCCCATGCCCTGACCTCAGGATGTGTCAATGTGTTGCCAGCAGTTGGCAACTGCAGAGAGAACCCTCCTATGCTCCCAGGCCTGAGACTTGCCCCTGACCAAGCTAGTGATGGGCCGTTTTGTCCTTGATCACAACCCATGGTGGACACAGGTGGTAGCTAGTCCCAAAGTTGCCTGAGAACCCCCCTCTCCTTCCACCCCTGTACCAAGAGTTTTATAGCTCCTGATTTTCCCATTTATCTGTGGGTAAAAATGATATTGGGCTTCCCTGGCGGCTCAGTCGTAAAGAATCCACCTTCAATGCAGGAGATGTGGGTTTGATCCCTGGGTCGGGAAGATTCCCCTGGAGAAGGAAATGGCAACCCACTCCAATATTCTTGCCTGGGGAATCCTATGGACAGAGGAGCCTGGTGGGCTACAGTCGCAAAAGAGTCGGACATGACTTAGTGACTAAACAGCAACAAAAATGATGCTGTGGCCTGTGGAAGGCACCCAGTAGTTGAGGCCACATGTTTCAGCCAGCTAAGCCCACGGGTCTTAAGGCAAGAGGATGGCATACACCAAGGCTCATGTCGGACAAGCATCACTGGATAGTGGAGGTCCCCAACTGCTCTGAACTAAGGTCCAACCAGGCCTCTTGACCTGGTGAGGGTGTAGTGAGGCTGGGGAGAGCAGTTGTTTAGGCCCTGAGCACTGGGGTGGGCTGTTGGCTTGGCCACCCCCCATCAATCTTGGCCTCTGTCTCGGTTGGGATACTATTGCAGAAAACATGAGCTGCTTTAGCTTTTTTTAATTAGACAAAGATTTATTACCAGGTCCCTAGCGGCTTTGCAAAATGACTGCAAGGGCTGGAGGAGCCGACTCTGCTGAATTTCCAGGAACAGCTCCCAGCCGCCAAATTCATCACGTCTGCTATGACCAGGAACGTTGCTCCCATCGGCAGGCAGCCACTGCTCAGAAGCCGCTGGCTGCAAAACTGTGCAGTCTCTGCTACTGTCCATGCCAGTAAATGATGTCCTGAGGGCTGCCTCTCTCCAGGCAATTCAGTTTCCAGATCCAGATCTCTACAAGGGATTCTGTTTGGGGAAACATAAATCAGATCCAGAACCTTGGCTGCAAGGGAGTCTGGGAAATGTACTTTTCTTCTTTCCAGCCTCATCCATACAAAATGGCACAATACAAGAAAGTGAGAATGTGTGTTGAACAAGCTCACTTTCAGTTTTTGCTGTTGGAATCCACCTCTAGGCCTTGGCTTTGAGGCAGCAGAGCCTCTAAGTGTCCTGCTCCAAGGCTGTGTCCCTGTCCAGGACAGGCGCCCCTAGAGTGAGCCTACAGAACCAAACTGAAAGCCTCCCACCCTAGGCTTTCCTTTCTAGTTCTGGGGCCTAGATTCTGAACTTGGGGTCTTTGATCATACCCATCTCGAAGGAGCCAGACTAGCTGAACCTGGGGGGCTCCCACCTCACAACCGCTGCCCATGGGGTCCTCCTTTGGGCAGGAGGAATCCTCAGTCTCACCCCACCCATTCAGCTACCAGAATCTGGGCAACCCCCAGCAGTATTTTTATTTTAAATGTTATCCATTTTGTGAGTTATGATGAATTTGTATTAAATTAAAGTTACAGGCTGTGAGTGGTCAGTGCCATTAATTTTGACACACACAGAGGCCCATCTATCCTGGCCCAGGCAGCATACATAAATCAACATGGCTAATCCACAAAGCAACCCTGCTGAGTAGCACCATGCCCATTTTACAGAGGGGGAAAGTGAGGTTCATAGAGAGGACATGACTTGCCTACAGTCCCACATCCTGCACTAAGTGGATTTAGAATTGAGCCCAAGGCACTCACACCACAACTTACCAGTCAGGGAAGACTGTCAGCCTTGGCCTGGAGGAGGGCATGGTGGTAGCCTTGGAAGCAGAGAGGAGCTCATGAGACAGTGGCAAGAGACTGGGCCCTAGAACCCCACAGACCTAGGCTTAAATCCAGGCTCTGTCACTGTGTGCCCCTAGAAAAATGAATTAACTTCTCTGGACCTCAGTTTTCTCACCTGGGAAATGGGGATAATCACACCAATCTCACATGATTTGTTATAAACTGCAAAGTGCCGTGCATTTAGGGAGGGCCTGCCTGTCACTCCAGCTGCCTCCCAGAGTCAGTGCCTAGAACTGGGTGGGTTTTCTCAACCTCTGGGCTGGCTCTGCTCCTAAGGAGTCTTCTTGTGCCTTGTGAGGGGTTGTGGGACCACCCAGGCCAGGCAGTTCCCCAGGTTCTCTATGTCAAAGGAGGTCCATCCCACCTCCACCTGGCCAGGAGTCAAGGCCCGGCATGTGGACGCACAGGTGTGTACACTAAGGAGAAAGGCTGCTGGGGCCCCCTAGAGCTGTGCAGTGCAGCCTTGGAAGCAGGACTTCTGGGCCTAGTCTCAGTTCTGTGCTGACTTGTTTTGTACCCTGAGGGTCCTTTCCTCCAACTCCTCACCTACAGAATGAGGCAGGTTAGACCGGGTGCTCTCTAAGGCGCCAGGTTTGGATCTTCACCTATACCTGGAGGCGGGAAGGAAAGAGAGAGGGAACTACCCAAGTCACTACTTGTTTGCAGTTCTTGGAAGATGGACATGAGTGAGGAGGAGGAGGGGCTGTTGGAGAGTGCAGAAGGACAGGTGTCTGAATGGTTGACAGCGCCCCAGTTTACAGAGAAGCTGTAGGGAGTGAACCTGGGACTAGAGAACCCCATAACCCCCTCGCACCATACTTTCAGATCGCTGTGACTCCTCCCAAGCCACACTCCTCTATTTTGCTCAGGGCATCTGTCCCCTGGAGGAGGAGTACCCTGTCCACGGTCCTTCCTTCCCCTTCCCCCACTCAGGCTCAGCACCTTGTCCCAGAAAGGCTGCTTGCTGCCCCATCTTCATGCCTGGTTTCCGAGTGTCTGGGAGTGCAGGGATCTAATCTGAACACCCAACTGGGGACTCTGGGAAATCAGGGGACCTCCAAGAGGTATGAAGTGTCCAGAGACTTCCTGAATGAAAGAATTTGCGGTTGTCAGTATAACACCAGGAACCCCACATTTAATACAGGTAAGTGAAGAGGGGAGACAAAGGCAGTCCAGCCTTGGGGTGGAAGCAGGGATCAGCAAGGATCTTCCCCAGGGCAGGAAAGAACTGATAGAATGACAAAAACCCCACTCACAACCATGTTCATGGTCAGCAAGCGAAGCAGTGGGACTTTTTGCACCTTATCTAACATTGAAATAAGCCATGAAGTCAGTATCATTATCTCAGAATTTGAGCAGGGAAACACTACTTCCCAGGGGACCCTTAGCCAGTACTCAGTAAAGCTGGAAATCAGACTCAGGCCTGTCCAAGGCTAAAGCCCAGCTCTTCACTGGCCTCCCTGGAAATGTTTCTCAACTTTGAGAACAGCTTCAGTGACAGGCAGCAGCCACTAGAATTGTGATCCCCATGGGATTCAAGGCAGGAACTTAACCCAGACTCCACACCATTGAATTATGCAATTGTGAGTTAAGTTTCACCCATAGACTCCACCTTATGTACCTCCCAGATCAGAGGTGAACTTGTGAAGGCACTGTGTGACCCGGAGCGGGTCTCTCTCTCTTTCTGGACCTCTGTTTCCCGATTTCTATCAAGGAGGGGTTCAGATTCTAGCTAACTGATTGCCAAGGCAGTGGTTCTGATGGTCCAGGATCCTGCAAGTCTTATGTTGGTCCCAGGGCTTGGCCCACTCAGCACCTAACAAGGCCATCAGCTCTGAGTCTTTCTCTCTGGGGTGGCAGCAGGAACAGAAAACAACAGAGATAAGGTCTCCTGGCAGCACAGTCTCAGCTCAGAGGCTCTGGGGATGGGCCTTCCCTCCTGCCAGAGAGGCCATCCCAGGAGGCTGACTGCTCACACCTGGGCAGCCTTCCTGGCTTCATTCCCCTCCTGTCTGAGTCTTGGCTCTATTCACTCTCCCTACATGCTCCACCGGAACGTAAGTTGCAAAGGACCCTGTGCAGACAGAAAGGAGTGGGATGAGGCTGGGGGAGGGGCAGTGTGCTGACCGAGGTGCTGAATCTTCATTCCCAGGAGGGAATGGTCATTTCTCCTTACTCTGGGACATCTATAATTCTAGCCAGTGCCTCTGGGGGAAAAGGAGTGCTGGGAAGCAGAGGAGAAATGAGAAGGAAAGGGAATGAGAGAGGGAGGGAAGGAGAAGGAGAGAAAGAGAAAAGTAGAGACGCATTTAGGAGCTATAGCCTCTAAAAAATAGCAAGAGACAGGGACTTTTATTTTGAAATATGCTCATTTTCCTTTGTTTTTCTTTTCTATCTGGTTTAAATAATGTGGATTTTTGTTTACCCTAGATAGAGTGTAGAACAGTCTTCCATCTTCTTTCAAAATGTTGACAGTTCTATCATATTTCTGACTGTTACAAAATGCTCCCCATTCACCCTAGGAATTCAGTGAAGTAGGGGAAGAGTGGCCACTTTGGACCCAAGGACCAGGGGGCTTCCTACTCTGATGTCATGTCAAGGGAGGGCCTTTCAGGAGGCTAGAGCCAGAGGCACAAGGCCCAGGCCCTGGTGAGCTCCCCAAACCGTGGGCTGCAATATGATCAAGCTTGAATGCTCAAGGCGCCTAGGAGCTCCTCCAGCCCAATCCAGAGGCCCAGAGAAGGTTTGTTTCTAGTTCAAGGTCATATAGCACATGACAGAGCCAAGCTGGGGAACCCAGGCGAGGAAGAGGAACAAGCAGAGTCAGGAAGTCCTCTCTGGGTGGAGACAGCCCAGTTGAGCATGCTAGTCAGCAACATAGACTCCAGGATGGCTGCTAAGAGACCAATGGCCTCAACTCCATCATTTCACAAGTAAGAAAACAGACCAGGATGGGAAGTCACCAGTCCATGAGGCAGAGCAGGCCCAGACCCAGGTCTCCAGACTTACATGCAGCCTTTAATCTCCCCCCTGTGGATTCTGATGCCTCCTCCTACCCCCTGGGAACTTGGAGTCAGAGCCAAAGGAGAAGGGGAGTGGCCTGGGCCCCTGCAGCTCCAGGCACCAAGGGCTGGTTACCTTTCTCCATCCTCCTCCCGGAAGAGAACGGAGAATTGGCCTGGACCCCAACAGCCCCTCCTCCAGGGCAGAGTCAGTCGGTACCTACCCACACCTGGTACCTCCCTTACTGGCAACAGAGTCCGGAGCTAGTAACAGCCACAGCAGGGACAAAGCCACCTGGGCAAGTGCTGGAGCCACTGGGAGTCACAGGTAAGAGACGGCACTGGGAGTGATGGCCCAAGGAGGTCCCCTGATTCCAAGGGGATTTGGGATTTTTCTCCTAAAGAAGGGGCTTTTGCCCCCTCTCTCCCTGTAGACTGAGCCCCGGGGCCTGCTTCCTGTGCTCACTGCAAACCCCAGGTGAAGTCCCTCGATGACTAAGCTGCCAGATATACAAATCAGGAATGGGGTCCCAGGCTCAGCAGCTCTTCTCCTGCCCCTGGGAGGAAGGAGAAGCAGATAAGGGCCCCAGGAAGTCCCAGGAAAAAGCAGAGACCAGCTGGAGGTGTGTGCATCTCACAGGTGTGGACTGTGAGCCAAGATCTAGACAAACCTGCTAAATCTGGAGTGGACCCCCACTTGAAGTCTGACCCACCAGAGACCCTGGACAACTCCTGGCATAGCCACCTTACTGATGTCCACTTTTCGTTTGTTCAGTGGAAAAGAAGGGTGGCCCTGAGCTATGGGGCAACCTCCTATTCTAAGGTTCTAGCTTGAGACAGTCTCATGGAATTTGTTCAACAGTCTCTACCTGCTTCACCTTCCCTCTTGTTTAGGGGTCTGCCTCTGTCATACTTCTGGAATGCCCTCCTCCACCCCTTTTATTCCTCCATCAAGACTTACCCTCCTGTGTTCCTTGGAGTAACTGACTTGTGGTTTTCAATGCCTCCTTCCCTCACCTATGCACATGTGTAAAGAAACCTCTTAAAGAACAGCTAGTGGTGGGATTCCAGACACCACACCAAGATAATAGTGGGAATAGGAAGGTAGAGGAGACCTCCACATAGGCAGCAATACAGCAGCAGTTACTGTGTGGGCACAGATCTGGCCAGAAATGACCATGGCTCTCATGTACTGAACCAATCCAAGTCCTACTCTTGACCCAGCCTGCAGCCCTCCCTCACCAGCATCCAACAGGCTAATGGTGACACAACATTGCCTTTCTGTTTTGAGGCTCTCCTGGTAGAGGAAATAAATGATGATGTGTATAATATTAGCGTCAGAGTACACAGAATATTAGGATCAGGACTTCCCTTGTGATTCAGTGGCTAAGACTCTGCTCAAATGCAGGAGGCCTGGGTTCAATCCCTGATCAGGGAACTAGATCCCACATGCCACAATGAAGATCGAAGATTCCATGAGCCACAACTAAAACCCAGGGCACCCAAATAAATAAACAAATATTTTTTTAAAAAGAATATTGGGATCTCAAGTGAACAGTGTGGAGCAGATTTTGGTCCTTAACACTTCTGCTTTTGTAATGCCCATCTACCTCCTAGAATATCCTTGCCCTTCTTTTTCTTCCTGTTGAAATCTTACTCATCCTTCATGTCCCATTCAAGGTGAAGCTGTCCTGATCATTCAGGTCCAGTGGAACTCAATGTTCTGCACCCTTGAAGCACTTTGGGTCTCCACTACCACTAGACCATGAGCATCGTGAAGCAGGGATCATGTTCCCTGGGGTCATGGGTGAAGAGAGGGTCACAGAAAATGTTTGCTGGGGAATTCCATGGTGGTCCAGGGGTTAAGACTTTGCCTTCCAATACAGCGGGTGCAGGTTCAATTCCTGGTCTGGGAGCTAAGATCCCATATGCCTCAAAGCCAAAAAATGAAACAACATAAAACAGAAGCAATATTGTGACAAATTCAATAAAGACTTTAAAAATGATCCACATCCGAAAACAGAATTTATGAAAAAAAGAAAGAAAGAAAATATTTGCCGGCTGGAGCTGGTTAGTGTCCAAGCTGGAATCATGGTTAGCATCCAAGTTGGGAGGGAGCATAGAGACCAGGGATGGCTCCACCCCAACCCTCCCTAAAGATGCCCAGGAAAAGCATACTGACACACCCCCAGCCAGGCTCTGCCCAGAGAGAACCAGGAAGAGCCGGCAAAGACTAGGAACATTGCTTGTCTTTTTTTTCCCCCATTATAAAATAACTTCTGCTTTTTGCAAAAAGATTACAATAGACATAAGCCTATTAAAACAGAAAGTCCCCTCATTCTGCTCTCAGGAGTCAATACCTGTTTACAGTTTGTTGCAGGTCCTTCCAGGCATTCTTGTTTATACATCAACAAAGATAGCTTTTTCCTTTATAAAAATATGTTCATTTTTAATTTCCTATGTGTTCTGTGCATGGATGCATCGTGTCTGACTCTTTGCGATCCTGAGTTCTGCAAATTCCTGCAATTTGTTGGTCAAAAGGCTTCTTCATTTTATTCTATTTTTAAATTTTATTTGTTCATTTATCTCTGGCTGTGCTGGGTCTTCATTGCTGTGCTCGGGCTGTCTCTAGTTGTGGTGAGCAGGGTTACTCCCTAGTCGCCGTGCACCAGCTTCTCATCATGGTGAATTTTCTCGTTGTGGTGCATAGACTTTGTTGCCCTGCGGCATGTGGGATCTTCCCAGCCCAGGGATCAAACCCATGGCCCCTTCACTGGCAGGCAGATTGTTCACCACTGGACCATGAGGGAAGTTCCTTGCTCATTTTAAATGTCTTGCTTTCCTAAGTAAATATTTTTTCTTATAACATGTTCATTGTAGAAAAATGGTGAAAAGACAATTGACAAAAGACTCTGTGTGAAAAGACACACAGAGAGTACGTATTTCCTGTTAGCCATTTTTCAGAGATAACCACGGCTCGTGTCTAGGTGATTAGGTTTACAGGTTTTTCCCCATGTGAGTACATGTGTTTGTTTACAAAAATTGGAACACACTCTCCTGTTGTCTGCTAGTTTACTTTTTTTCTCCACTTAATAGATTGTGTGCATTTTTCCATATTGTTGAATAGTCTTCTACAGCATCAGTTTAATACAATAAGGTTGCTTGACCTTGAGGTCCCCCAGTAGCCTTTTTCCTGACTCCCCTTCTGAGTAGGGATCCTGCTGCAACAATGAGCCAGAGCCTGTTGCACCAGGGTTTAACCTTGGCCTGCCCCCTACTTTCAGGAAGGAAGGCCTGGGAAGGCCTTGAACACCTGCCGCCTCCACCACTCCTGGGAGAAGGTCCCAGCACCCCACAGATGGGCTCAGGGCCCCCCTGTAACATCTCCACCGCCGCCCACCGCTGCAGTAAGTAGACAGCTGTTCCTTCCTCTGCTGCTCTCCTGGACCCTGGGCTCCTTGAGTCCTGGAGGGTGGGGGACTTGGGCAATTTCAACCTTGAGGTGGAGTAGGGAGGCTGGAATCAAGTGGAAGGGGAGGGGCAGAGTGCCACTTGTCCTTGTACTTCAGCCAGCTCTTCAGCCAGCTTTTCCTCCTACTGCTGGGACTGGGGGAGTAACAGGGGCAGATGAGGGTCGGGGGGAGGGTGGGGGAAGGAGCTGAGCCACTTGAAAGTTTTCTGGTTCCCAAAGCAAATACCCAACTTCCCAGCCCAAGCCCATGCTCTGCCCCAGGAATTTACCAGCCAAATAGTAAGGAATTAAGTGTGACCCTGGACCAGACTCTAATCCACTTCTTGGGCGGGAGGTGGGGCGGTGGTTGGGGGGCCTCAGTCTCCTCTCCAATGTACCACGTGGTTCCTAAGGCAAATTCCCCACTCTGAAATTCTGTAACCCAATTCAAACCCATGTTTTGCCAAATGCTCTTTCTCTCCAAGCCCCTAAAGACCTTGTGATTGGTTAAATTTAGTTGTGCACCAGGCCTTGTTTGAGGGATCAGTAACATAATGCGTATTATTAGCTGTCAACTTATTTAATCCTCACAACAAGCCTAAGAGGAGGTACCCACTTTTATCCCCATTTCACAGATGAGAACACTAAGCCCAAACAGTTGAAATGATTTTCCACATTAAATGGTAAAGCTCAGATATGAACCCAGGGCTGTGGGACCTCCAAACCTACGTTCCTTATTATCATCCTAACCACATACCACCATGATATGTATGCAGAGATCATTCTTCCCTTGCTACAGTTGAGGAAACTGAGGCCAGAGAGGGGAGGTGAATTCCTCAAGGTCGTACAGTGTGTTCATGGCAGAGCTAGGTGAAGCCAGGCTTTCTGCCTTCCAGCCCACCCTCACCTCCTGTATTTCCCTGGCTAGTGTTCAAAGAGGAAGCTGCTGAGCCAGAAACAGCCCTTGGACTGGAGTCAAATGCCCAGAACTAATCGGGGCAGTCAGGTAGAAAAGGTTATGTTTGTTCACCCCAGCTTGGTTCTACCCTCCTCTGGCTCAGTTCCGGGAAGTGTTGACTTTGGGCAGGTCCCAAACGAGAAAAGGTGACATTACCTGTGGGTGGGGGAGGGCTGGGCCGGAGGAGCCCCTTCCCCACTCTCCTCTTAGACAGCCCCACTGTGCTCTCCACTCCCTCACTCTGCCATTCAATCACTTACCTGACAAACCCGTATTGAGCGGCTACTATGTGCTGGCGCTGAGATGAGCAAGGACAGGTTTATCTCAGGTCTCCATCAAAGAGGTGATAGTGACCAGACAGTCACAGCACATGCGCAGAGGGCTGGGCTTGGACAGGAGGGGAGAAAATCAGAGGGGCCACTGGAGGAGGTGCCATGGAAGTTGAGACCTCCAGCATGAGTGAGAGTTGGGGACAGTGTTCCAGGCAGAGGGAACAGCATGTGCTAGGGATAGGAGGCCAGAAATGAGATCATGTGGTTAAAGCATTGAATGTGAGTCAAAGAGGCAGCCTCTGCATCTCAGCTTCTTTATCTGGCAAATGGAGATAGCTTGCTAGTGGGCTAAGACACGGTATGTAAAGCACCTTGTGTTATAGCATGACTCCTCTCCCTTTTAGTCTGCAAACATGTGCCTAGCACCAAGTGCCAAACACTGGGGGAAACGAACTACTGCCTGCTTGTCCAAGGCCACCCAGTCTTTGCCTCCAAGCCTGTGATTGCTCTGTACCTCCTTCAGACCTGGGGCCCCAATATTATGTGGGCCCCAGCTACTGAGGGCCAGGGCACAGCCTGCCCTTGGGGAGCACTCCACTACCCCTGCCCTGATGCCTCTGCCCCTTCGTCCCCAGATGTGGGTGGCCTGCAGGCTGCAGTGATCATCATCCCAACCCTGCTCTCCTCATCTACTCTGCTAATCGTCAGCTTCATCATATGGAAAACTTGCCGCCGGTTGTCTCGAGTCACCCACCCCCGCCTGCCATCCACATGAGGGGCCCAGGTAAGTCACTTAAGCACCTTCAGCACAGGGGGGTTCTAGATCAGTTTTATTCTTTGTCTCCCATAAGAGAAGAAAGTCTCCTTATTGTCTTGAGGCATAAGGGATGATGTGCTGAGCTGGATAAAGCCTCACAGAGGCCACAGCCACATGTGTGGCCTCCCAGTCTCCTGTACCTTTGTCCAGGTTCTGTTGGATGTAATCATCAACCCTGCGGTCAAGGAAGCCCATTCTGCATCCCCTGTAACTGTGACTCTGGGTGACTATGAGACCAAGGCTACCCTTGGCCACACACTGCCCCCCTACCTCCCAGGGGTGCCCCGGGGAGGCCTGGTGGGGCCTCCACAGGGAACCTGACCAAGGAGCAGAAAGTCCTCCTCCCGGGACTGAAGGAGAACGCTCCTGGTTTCACCCCAGTTGTGGCATGGCTTATCACAGTATCCAAGGCTTGCAGTCCTTCAATCTTTCCACTTCTCATATCTCTAAACACTCGCACCGCCAGTGCTTTCCTGAGGTCATGGTGTTTCAGCTTATTCTATGGTTCTTAGAGGGGAACATAGCCCTATGGCCCCTAGCAGGCAAGGCTTGGATGGCACGGAAATTGCCAGGAGACTCCTCATCTACCACCTGAGACCTGGGATTCAGAGGAGCAACAAAGCGAGGAAACTGGGTCTCACGCAGCTTAATACAAAAGTCCAGAATTCTCACCACTGCCCTAAGATCTCGGGATGTCTGTTCTGATTGTCTGCCAGCCACAGGTTCACAGCGTCTTACATTCATCCGGTGGTACCCAGGTGTGTAACATGTGCCAGGCATGCCAGCTGCTGGGTTTAGAACAACAAATGAGACCCAGACTAGAATCTAGTGGCTGTTACAGAACAACGATAACAGAGTGTGAGAAGTGCTTGGATAGGGTACGGAGTCTAGCGGAGTGTAAAGAAGAGACCAACAACGAGCTAGAGCAGGAGGGAGGGTCAGGGAAAGTTTCCAAGAACTGGCATCTAAACTGAGACCTGAAGGATGATGGGAAGTTGCTGGAAGGAAGGTGGGAAAGGATAGTAGAGGCAGAGAGAACAGAAAGTACAGTGTAAGGTGATGGCAAACTAGTTTTATAAATGCAGTTTTATTGAGACATAGTCACATCCATTCATTTACGTATTGTCTCTGACTGCTTTCGCTTTACACAGCAGAGTGGAATCGTTGTCACAGAGACTCTTTGGCTCACAAAGCTTAAAACATTTACTATCTCGTCCTTGAAAGAGAAATATTGCTGACTCCTAGAAGTTAGAGAGCTTATACTGCCTCTTAGGAACATAGTGGTGGTAGGGTTGAGGGCGAGAACTCTACAATAAGCATCTCACAGCGCGTTCTTCTTCTCTTAGTCACTGTGGATTGATCCAGAGGTAGACACACCTGATTTACACTGACCTAATCAGATTCTCTCTTCCCAGGAGTTTCAATTGTGGAATGTGACACCCAGAAATGGAGCTGAGTTATATTCATGCCTGTGAAACTTTGCTGCTGAGGCCCCTGGAGCTACCCTGATCCTTTCGAAGACCCATTCATCAATAATCCTTTTGATTCTGAAAATCCTTGCAATCAATTCCCCAAACCTTTAATTTTCATTTCTTTCAGAATCAGTTTGTTACTTTTAAATAAAAAACTTTAGCTAAAATTAACAGTGAAGAGAGATGAAGCTGGTGGGGTATACAGTCAGCATAGTCCAGTGTAGGTATAATATGACCCACATATGGAATTTTGTATTTTCCAGTAGCCACATTTTAAAAATTGAAAAGAAGTTAGTGAAATTAATATTAACAATGTGTTTCATTTCACCCAATATAGATAAATATTATTTATCATTTCAGTATCTAGTCAATATTTTTAAATTGCTAATGAGATGTTTTACATTCTTCTCTTTGAACCATGTCTTTGAACTATGGGGTGTATTTTACACATATAGCATATCTCAAATAAGACTGGCCACACTTTTGAGTGCTCCATAACCACAGGAGGCTGGTTGCCTGCATAATGGATAGCACAGATTAAGATATTCAAGGTGATGAAGGACCTGCTAAGAAGTCCTGGCCTCATTCTGAAAGCAGTGGGTATCCCCTGAAGAGATTCAAATCTAGAAGTAACATGATAAAATATATATGTAAGTTTAGGAAGATCACTCTGACTTCCACTTATAGAATGGACAGGAAAGGAATTGAAGCTCAAGTTAGGGAAATCAGTTAGGAGGAGCTGAAGAGAGAATGAGAAGTAAAGATGTTGATGATAGACTTTGGTGGCAGCAGCTGAAATATTAAGATGCAGTTCACCTCAAGGGAGGCTAAGGAGGCAGAAGTGATGCACTTCATCTTCATTGCTAACCCTGCACATAACATTTATTTCCCACCTGCACACTTCGTGTATCTCCTTCCCATCACTCCATCTCACATATCTTCCCCTATTCTCTCTGGCAACCAAAGAGGCAAATCTATGATATTTAAGGCATAGTCCCCAGTAGTTACGACTGCAAAGTGGTCCACAACAGGAGATCAATCAACAGATGTGTCTTTCCTCCCTCAACGAAATCTCCTCTGAATGCTCTTGCCCACACCTAACCACTGATCCTGAAATTTGAAAGACAGGAATATTGGCCCAATCTAAGATAAACTGTAAGTCCTGTCCTAGGAAGTTTCCAGAAACCCTAAGAAGAGCTTTCTGCTGCATGGGTGAAGGAGGAAGGTTATATTTAACCAGGGTTGTGGTTTTGCTTAGAGAGTATACATACAACAAATAAAAGAGGCAAGGAAGTAGTTGGTGAATGCAAGGGAATGATGATAAAAATAACCATGGAATTTAAGCTGGCATGGGAATCTTTAAGAGATATTCCTAAAAATTCCAGTTCTCCAACCCCACCCCTTGCTTCTGGACTTTGGGAAGAAATGCATTTTTCTGTCCATTTGAGGCAGGTATGACCATGTGATGAGATCTGGCCAATTAGATTACAGATTCTGCTGCTGCTGCTAAGTCGCTTCAGTCGTGTCCAGCTCTGTGAGACCCCATAGATGGCAGCCCACCAGGCTCTCCCATCCCTGGGATTCTCCAGGCAAGAACACTGGAGTGGGTTGCCATTTCCTTCTCCAGATGGAGCATTTAATTGCCAACAAGACCCTCCAGAGTTCTCTTTTCCCTGTCACATAGTGACCAACATTATTTGAAATGGTGACTTTTCCATCAGCCTGGATTTCTGACTATGAAAAGCAGAGCCCTCTCTTGACCCACAATGTTCAAGTTGTGCAAGCAGGAAATAAATCTTTCTTCATTGTATTAAAGCTTAAAATGTAAGCCTTAAATATAAACCTGAAACACTGGGATTTTTTTGGTATTGCAGCACCACATAGCCGAGCCTGACTGATATAACTAGAAGAGAGGACATTAACAGGGAGGGAGAAAATGCAAAATACAAGATTAATATCAATTCCTGGCACTGAAGATTGATGGAGTCAGAATAGGAGAGAGGAAAATAACTGGAAAGACATGAGGTATTGTTTAGAGTGTTAAATTCATGGCAAGGTCTAGGACAAAATCTCTGAAGCAAGAAACTGAGAGAACAATGTCAGAAGGATCATCTCTGTGTATATTGAAATTGCCAAAGATTAAGACAGAAATAATGTCGAAGAGAGTTAAGAGGCAGAAGCCAAAATTCTTACTGTTTGTCTTCCCGCAAGGAAGGTATGAATGCCATGAAGGCAAAGACCTTTGTGCTCACATTTATGTCCCCAGTGCCTGGGACAATGCCTGCCACAGAGAAGACACTTAACATATACTTGCTGAATGAATGAGCAGAAGAAGGGGAGAATAGTACACCATACATTTTGACAAATAAATCAAATTCAGGCAAAAGAGCTCTTTCCAGTTCTTAATCCTTTGATTCTGTTTTTTTCCACAATACCTTTCCCCAAGACCACAGTGACTGTTCTCTTTGTCCAAGAGTCTGCTTGTTGATCTATCTTCTTGTTGCCAGAAATCTCAAGGAGCTACTTTTTAAACTTTTCCCCAGAGGCTTGCATGCTGGCAACTCTAGCTAATACCATCCCCCATGTTACAAAACACCGGTGTTATTTTCTCCTCCACCTTCTCCCTCATTCCCACATCCAACTTCATTGCCAAATATCTTTTGTTTATTTGAGACCTATCTCAAATCCATCCACCCCTACAGCCAATGCTCCAATCCAGATTCTCATTATCTCTTCCCTGGCCTAGAACAAGTGTCCCCTCCTAATCAGCCTGCTTTCTCTTTGCTTCCAATCCCTGTCTATTATCTAGTTATCTACTCCTGCATTAAAATCACCTTAAATATTTGTTAAAACTTAAAGCCACAAATATTTATTATCTCGAAGTTTCTGTGGGTCAGGAATCTGGGCATGGCTTAGGCAGTGCTTCTGGCTCAGGGTCTCTCACATGACTGCCAGCAAGTGTTGACCAGGGCTACAGTCATGCCAATGCTCACCTGGAGGAGGATCCACCTTCAAGCCCACTCATGGCTATTATAAGCCCTCAAGTCTTTGTTACTGGACAGAGACATCCATTTCTGGACACCTAAACCTCTCCATAGGACAGGACAGCTTGTAACATGGAAGATGTCTTCCTCAAGAGCAAGTGAGCAAAAGAGGGTACCAAAAACAGAAGCTACAAGTTTTTTTTTAATAATTTAATCTCAGAAGTGGTAACCCATCACTTCTAACATAGTCTGTTCATTAGAATGGAATCAACAAGCCCAGTCCATACTCAAGGAGAGAGAATCATATCAGGGTGTGAATACTGAGGTTTGAGATCACTGGGGACATCTTGGAGACTGCATACCACAACCTCTTCACTGCCTTTAGTGAGCCACCTAAAGTGCAAAGCTGATTTCTTCTCTCCCTTTCTCAGAAACTTCTGTTAACTTGCCAACACTACCACACTGCCCTTCATAATATGCCTCAATCACTATTTCATTCTCATTTTCCATTCTGCACTCCAGTTCCTAAGAAAGTGCACCTAATTATTGCACTGCTAGCCCTTTCCACACCATTTCCCTAGTTTGGAAAACTTCCCTCAGCCTTCTCAGGCTTTTCTATCTGGTCAACTCCTACTTTTCCATCAAGGTTCCTGCTTCCATCCACTGCTTCTGCCAGGTCCACCCTAACTCTAGCAGGCGGTTTCATCTATCACTAATCAGACCTCGCTTGCAACCCTCTATTTTCCACTAACACACAACTTACCAACCAAGTTATAATTATTTCCATTTGGATCTCTCACAGGATCTCAGATTCAACACATTCAGAAGTTCATTTCTGCTGACTTTTATATCAATGAGGTTTAGCAGGAGTGGATCTTCCAGCCTCACCATCTTCAATGGAGATGTATGACAGTGAAAAGTGTTAGTTGCTCAGTCGTGTCTGACTCTTTGCCACCCCATGGAATTCTCCAGACAAGAATACTGGAGTGGGTTGCCATTCCTGTCTCCAAGGAATCTTCCCGACTTGGGGATCAAACCCGGGTCTCCTGCACTGTGGGTAGATTCTTTGCCATCTAAACTACCAGGGAAGCCCATCTTCAATGGAGATGTATAGAACAAGTTATAGAACCTCACCATCTTGATTGGTGTTATTTAAATGCCTAGAGAGCAGTCATTTGGTATAGGGTCTTAATAAATAAACACCTGTGGGTCTCTAAAGACAATTATGGTCCCCATAGGATTCCACAGGAAGAGGGCTGGGTGAGTATGATTGAGAAGTTTCTCCAGAGTGGGCGGAGCTGCTTCCCTACCTACCTCCACTAGTAATTAACACTGTCTATTCCAGACAAGTTACTTCATTTCAAAGTCTCCGTATCCTATTTTATAAATGGAGATCACCTAAGTGGTTCCTATGGTGACCACTGAGTATGTTGCTGAGTATGTTGCTCCTATGTTGCTCTGAGTATTTTAAACATGCTAACTTCTTTAATCTTCAGAATTAGGGTATGAGATAGGTGTATTATTTCATTTTACAGATGCACAGGATTCCAGGATTCCAACACAGGCACTGAGGAATCGGAGTTCCTGTTATAATGTCCACTTCACAGGCTTGTGCGGGTTAAATGAAAAAGATGAGAGTGAAGGGGTAGGGCAGAGCATGGCACACAGTGAGTATCGTTTTGAAACGTAAAACACATTGGCCTGCAAGTCAGGAATTCATTCAAAGCCCGTGATTTCCTGCGTGAATTCATCAGGCGTCTCCTTTAGGGGGAGAAATGGATGAGTGGGGAGGACACTGAGGACAAGCCTCCCAAGATCGGTAAAGCTCTCACGTCCCGTTACTCATGGATACTCCTATTTTTCAAGGCCAAGTGGAAGTAGCTGGTGGGCAAAAGCCCACTTCCGGTGTTACTGCAGGCCTTTCTAGCCGAGCAGGGGCCCGCTCGCACCCTTGCCTGCCTCCTGTGTCCCGGGAGGACCCCTTGCCGGTGGGGGCCCTCCTTCGGCAAAGGTTCGATTTTCCATTTATGCAGGCTGCGAGCTCTGTCTTTTCCTTCAACCAGTGGACTCGGCTGTCTTCTCGCTGTTTGGTAAAGTCCTCCTCCACCCCGGCAGGGGGCGCCAGAGCGCGGGGGCTCGAAACCTGGGAGGCTCTCTGACACGAAAGTGACGTCACGACGCCGGAAATCCGTGTCTGCGGGGACTTGGGATGAGACGGGTAGGTCCCGTGGCTGGAAGCAGAGCGACCAAGGCTAGTTTAGGCGGTGTTTAAAGGTATCGTTTCCGCTCCGGATAGACTCCCGAGACTCAGATGAGAAAAGTGAGATTCTAGCGGCAGGGAGTTGTTCATATTCCAGCGAGAACCTCTCCCAGGACCAGCGCGCTTCCCACGCGACTCCTCGGAGCGGAGGGACGTCCTCGGGGTGGTTTGCTCCACCTGAGAAGTCCCCTGAGGCAAGGGCCTCTGGAATACACCCATTGCACAGATGGGGAAAACGAACCCAGAGAGAGCGGCTTGCAGGATCGGGTTGCCGGATTGAGCAGCTAAAACGCAGGACGCCCAGTTAAAGGTGAAGTCAGATAAACAGCAGCGTTAGTACATGGGTCATAACGTTTACTGAAAAAGTAGCCGTCGTTTTTCTGAATTCAGCTTTAACTGGGCGTCCCATATTTTACATGGTAATCCTACCCCAAGGTCACCCAGTCGAGTGGAAGAGCAGAAAAAGCTATTGAGATATCTTGTATCCCTCCCCACTTAAGATTCACTGGTATGTGGACCCGCGCTCCTCCTGGGTAGTAATCCTGGAAGCCTGCAGGGCCCCTCGTCTTTTCCAGTTAGTGGTCTGCCCTTAGCGGAATCTAGGCTGCTGTTCAGGAGCTGAGGAGAAGGGCCTGAATATTCCTGCCTCGAGGTTCAGGGATAAATCCCTGCCACCCCATCCTCCAAGATTAGTTTATTCAAAAGACACTAAGCACTAACTTGGTGTCCAGCACAGACTCAGGCTCCAGATGATATTGGCAAGTAGGAAAAACATTCCCTCTGTTTGTGGAATTAACAGGTTTGCAGGAAGACAAGAAAAATTACAATGCACTGTGATCAACAGTTCTTTTATATGGGTGAATACAGAGCAGTGAAAGTGCAGACGTGCAATTCACAGGTATAGAGTAAAAGAAAAGGGATATATCCAAGCTGAGACTTGAAAGATTTGTTCAACTTATATGTTGGACATTCTGTGTAGGGTAGTGTTTTAGGTGCTAGAAAAATGGCAACAAAAATAAATATATCTCTGCCCTTAATAGTTTCAGTTCAGTCGCTCAGTCGTGTCCAACTCTTTGTGATCCCATGGACTGCAGCACACCAGGCTTCTCTGTCCACCAACTCCCGGAGCTTGCTCAAACTCAAGTCCATCGAGTCGGTGATGCCATCCAACCATCTCATCTTCTGTCATCCCCTTCTCCTCCTGTCTTCAATCCTTCCCAGCATCAGGGTCTTTTCCAGTGAGTCGGTTCTTTGCATCAGGTGGCCAAAGTATTGGCACTTCAGCATCAGTCCTTCCAATGAATATTCGGGACTGATTTCCTT